CGCAGGGCCATCGTAGGGGGAAGGGAGGCGACAGACGCCAGTGGCGATCGCCTAAGCAAGCGGAAAGTATGGGGTATACACTGGTTTTTAAAACCCAAGTTTGTACCCAAACAAACCCGAGCTGGCGCCGCCCCAGTGCGTGGCACCAGGGCTCAAGGCAACGCGCCTACAAGCTTCCGGGACGCACGCAGACGGGCGCGCGCGCGCGGGGCGACGCGGGGCGCGCGGCTCCGCCCGCCGAGGTCAACGGCTTGGCTCGAGCGCAAGGGATAACCGGGGCCAACGCGCGGAGGGGCGGGACAGGCGCGCAATGTGTTTCTTGTTAGGGGCAGCGGCCCGGCCTCCTTCGGTTTTTGCAGTCGCATGATAATATTAGGTGCAGCTTCATTCCCAGACGAGTCTGCCCTTGTCGCTGGCTGCTGCGATTCCTGCGGACGCATGGGGTCCCTGCACTCTGCAGTGACCCTGCCCGCGCCCCGCACCTCCCAGCGCTCTGGCTTGGCGACGCCCATCAGGCTCCCGCCAGCTCGTGGTGGTTTTCCAAGACCTTATCTCTCGCTTGAGTTAATTTGCTGTCTTTTTTTAATTTGGTGACAAAGGGAAATCCTTTGGAAAAGCCAAGGCGACCCAAATCGGGACACTTCGCTGCAGCGCAGGCAGTGAAATCGGCCCCTGCGCCCAAACTTTGCTTTCTTTGAAGGAAGCCGAAAAGGGATCCTGCCCTAGGGCGGGGGTTACACGGCAGCACGCAACAGGATTTGGCACGGCCACGTCACCTGGGGCTCTCGGGGTCCACAGGAGAGCATCACAGTCCTAGAAGGAAGGAAGGCGAGGGTGGGGGGCAGCGAAGTCGGCGTCGCCACTGGGCGCTTGGCTAGGGCTTTCGTAGCTGTGCGCCACCCTAAGCATAAGAAAGCAGGCAAGTCGGAGAGACACCCAGCTGGGAAAATAAACCTCGTGTCGGGCTTGCTCCCCTCCCCCACCCCGGCCACCGCCTCGCCTCGCCTCGCCGGGGCTGCGTAGCGCTGTTATAAACCCAGAATCGTTTATCTGGTTTCGGCGTAAGGGCTCCCTCTTGCCAAAACACTAAATAAACACGGACAGCAGAAAGTCTAATCCTTATGCGATCCAGATGCCGATTCCTAGAAGCCTACAGCACCGCGGGCGCCGCGCCCCGCCCCGCCCCCGCGCTGCGCGCTGCTAGCCGGCGGAGGAGCCCGCGCCCGCGGCGCCCCCGGGACGGCGATAAATAACCGCCGCCAGAGCCCCGCAGCAGAGGCGCGCCCTCGGGGATCGGATGCCGTAAGCTGTCCGGGAATGCTGGCATCTGATTCTTAAAATGGAACTTTCCCTGGAGATAAAGCCGGCGGGGAAGCGGCGGCCGTGGCTGCAGGTTTCCGGCCTCTACTGAGGCCGGGCGAGGGGGCCCTGCGCGGCGCTCGCCGGCCGGGCCCGGCCCGCCCTGCAGTGGTAACCAGGGAGCGCGGCAGGCGCCCTCCTCGCCTCTCCCGGACTGGGGCTGGGTGACGTTTACTGCCCTGCAAAACGCATAAGTGCGGAACTTTGGCGCGACCTCCGAGAGCTCCGAAGCGCAAGACAGTGGGGCCGAAGGGGCCAGGGTTTGGGGGTGGGGGGGGGGTCCTTGAGAGGTATTTTTAAAAGTCCAGATCAAAGCTATTGCAGTGAGGAGTCAGAGGGGCCAAAGGGATAAACCAGTCTCGGCTGCGCAGAGCACAAGCGACCTCCTTACCGCGCCAGACCCGTCCTGGATGCCTTCGCTTGCAAAAACAAATGAAATAAAGCAAAACCTTTTGCTTTGGCAACGTCCAAAGCCACAATACGCCTCCCTGGGGTTTGTTGTTGTTGTTGTTCGTTTGTTTTTTGCTTCCTACCAAAAGGAAGATTTTCTTTCCAGTCCTCCCCCCTTCTTCCCTCTCCCCAAATCGCGGGAAACCTAAGACGCGCGGCGGCTGCAGGTGCGCGCGGGCCGGGCCTCACAGGCATTGATCCTCCGGGCGCGCGCGCTGAGTGACGGCGTGGTTGCCATGGCAGCCGCCGGAGCGGCGCCGGGAGGACCCGGCCGCGGGGCGTTGTGAATGGGCGGCGTCACGCGCCTGGCGCCGGAGAGTCTGCTCCGGGGCTCCGGCTCCAGCCCCGCCGCGGCCCGGCCCCGCGCGCCGCCGCTGCCAATTCATCACCTGTCAGGGATCGCTCGGGGGGTCACGGGCGGAATGGACAGAGCTGTGAGAACAAAACCGAGCGGGGGTGGAGGTACAGGCGGCGAGGGGAGAAAGGCTAGCGCGCCCCACTGCGCCAGATGTGCCGGGAGCACCTCGCGCGCGCCCCCGCCACGTGGGATCCCCCACGCGTGGGTCCTGGCCGAGATCGGCGCACCGAGCTGCTTCTCATTACCGCCCGCAGCCTGGCTGGGGTGGGGCGCGCGGCAGGCCTGCAAGCTGCGCGACTAGGCTTGGGGAACCTGAAAAGCGGCCCCTGGGTGTCTTCAATGTAGGGTCAGCCAGTAGGTGAGCGGGAGAGGTCAAGGATCGCCTTCCATACACCCTAGTCCCCGCCGGAAACTGTTCGCACCTTTCCACCACCCACGGATGCAGCCCTTCCTGCAGCTGGGACCATGTGAACTTCAGAGCCTGAAAGGCAAACCCACATAGACGCCAATCTGCGGGCTTTTTTTTTTTTTTTTTTTTTTTTGGTCTTTTTCATTTTTATCGGTACCAGGGATCGAACTCACGACCGCCTGCTTGCAAGGCGGGTGCTTATGCCGCTGAGCTAAATCCCCAGCCTAATCTGCGGGCTTTTTAGTACCTTTTAAAGTTACCCCCAAAATGCTCCAATTCGATTGCCCCCTTCCTATCAAGCACCCCCACCCCAAGCATAATTTTAAAGGTGATTTAAAAGCTTGGCCTTGCTGAGACAACTAGTAACGCAGGCCTTTTTTTTTTTTTAAATCATTAACTTATACGCTTTCTGATCCTCAGCAAAACGATCTTTAAATGAATGCAAAACCGCGTAGCTTGCCAATAGAATCGAATTCAACAGGGCCAGGCAGACTGGACTCCATGAGGCAGCTAAAGAAAGCAACACCAGAAAACTTTCACCATATTTAGCAGTTTTACTACAGCAGAATACAAAAAACGATCCTGGGAGAAAGCGCTGCTCAGAACCACAGGGGAAGCACATTAGCATCCAGCCCCAGGCTTCATGCGTGGGGCCGAGAGGCTGTCATGGACGGTAACATACGGTGTCCTTGGGGAAAGCAGAGGAATGTGTGAGGACTGAAGCGCCGGCCATGTCCAAGAATCATAAGTAATAATCTGAGAATCCCAAAGATGTTTGTTTACATTGGCTATTATTGTAAAATAGTCAGAGTATAACATCATGAACCAAAATAATGTCAAAACAAAATCTGTCCCGCTGCGGCAAGGATGTGACAGAGAAACACACACAAAGTACATCAGAAGGCTTGGGAAGGGGAGGGGAGGTCGGAGGGTAAATCATTGCCAGGCTTGATAATCAGGCGACCTGGCTCCTCCATCATTGTGGGGAAGACAGGGATGAGTTAGTGGGCAGGGCCCAGGAAAGGTCTCCATGGCCTCCATTCTCAGCCTTCATTCTCCAAGCTGGAGTGGCTGGGTCTTATGGAGTGACACCTACTGCACTGCCAGCAACGGGGCCTCCCCAGAGAAAAGCCCTAGGGCACGCTGTTGTCAGGGAGGTCAGCCTGGCCCACCAGCCGAGGAATTAATCATTAATTGAAGGAAAAATACCGTTTCCCCTTTAGAGCTTTATTTGCAACCTCCTGGTTCCTTCCTCTTTCTTAAATGTAAAGGGCGCGGAGATGGAGGAAAAAGCAAGATGCTAAGATCATGTTTTCCAGAGTCCTCTAGTGTGTTTTTTACTATGATTTTTACATGACCCTGGTATGATTCCCACCTCCCCAACACACAACCCGTGAATACTCTGCAGTTCTCAGTCAAGCAGGACTTCTTTGTGAATTAAAATATTTGGAGTCTGGAGCTGTAAAGTTATTTAGATCAAAAGGATGAGTTCTCGGGAACTCCAGTGCCTCCGGTACCTGTGTTGAAAGGATTCCAAGTCTCATACATAGTAAAATAATTGCTTAAATAAAGGGAGAAGAGGTGGATGAATGGCTAGGTGTGGGAATGCAACCCCAGAAATCAAGGTTTGTGCGTAATCAGACAGACTCAGTCCCCTGAAGGGCAGTGTGGAAATGCAGTTTCAGTGTGTAGATTGTCCTAAGGATTTCCGAGTCACGGGATGGTTGTAACAGTCCTGCCAGGAGTGGTGTCCCCTCCCCGACTCCCGTGCCCCTTAGCAGTCAGAGCCAGCGTGGATGGACGCGGATTCCAAATGCACTCATCTTACTGATTTGCCAACAATGACTCCTGCTTTGCAAAATCCCACACTAAACCCTTCCCCGAATGCATGCGTTGGTAGGGTTTTTTTTTTTCCTTTAACAAAGTTTTTCCTTGTCTAGAGACGGGACTCACTCTGCACTCGTGGCCTCCAGCAGCACAACTATTGGTTCCCTCTCCCTCTGCTCCTGCAGGGCTGGCTGTGTCCTGAAGCCGTCCCGTGGGCTGCAGGGCATTGTGACATTGTCCCCTGAAGCTGTGACTTTAGGGCTGCTGCGAGCTGCTAGCTTTCGTTGGGGCGCACCCCCCGAGCTAGGGTGCGCATGCATTTAAACTTAAAATCGAGGACGTGCCATACCCTGGCACTGGCCCGCGCCGGGCGCCGGTTTACTGTACTCTATTTACCAGCCCAGCTGGGCTCGCGCAGGCCCCACCCACTTCACGAGGATTGGCTGCGAATGCGGAAGAACCGAGCGTTCACCCCGTTCCCGAACTAGCCAATAGGAGCGCTCCCTCAGCCTGACGGACGCACCGCTTTCCACCAATAGGAACGAAAGAATGGCCGCTTGAATGTCCCCGGCGAGCGCAAATAAAATCCGCCCCGTCGGGCTCGCGCTTCATTCTGAGCCGAGCCCGGTGCCTAGCGCAACTCTCTCTGCAGGCGGCGGCCTGAACTCCAGGGCAACCCGGTTTGTTTCTTCCTCGCCCCGCGATCAGCATGAAAGCTTTCAGTCCGGTGAGGTCCGTTAGGAAAAACAGCCTGTCGGACCACAGCTTGGGCATCTCCCGGAGCAAAACCCCGGTGGACGACCCGATGAGCCTGCTGTACAACATGAACGACTGCTACTCCAAGCTGAAGGAGCTGGTGCCCAGCATACCCCAGAACAAGAAGGTGAGCAAGATGGAAATACTGCAGCACGTCATCGATTACATCCTGGACCTGCAGATTGCCCTCGACTCCCACCCCACGATCGTCACCTTGCACCACCCGAGACCTGGGCAGAACCAGGCGTCTAGGACGCCGCTGACCACGCTCAACACGGACATCAGCATCCTGTCCTTGCAGGTGAGCTCTGCCCCAGTGCCCCGCGCTAGGCACCGGCGAGGCTGTCATTTCTAGGAGCAAGGTCCAGACTGAGTCTTCCAAGGAAGCTAATTCCCTTATTCCCTTAAAAAGTCTTCCTGCAGATTGAGCCGTGCGTGCAATTGCTAGTAAGTTCTGACGTGTGAATTAACGCGTGTAGCGTGCATGGTGGTCTAAACGTGCTTCGTGCAACTTGCTGATGTGTGGATTACTTTAGTGAAAAAAAGAGGCTCTTTTTCCCCTTAAAGACTAACATCGCGCCTTTATCCTCTTCCCCTCTAGGCATCCGAATTCCCTTCTGACTTAACATCAAACGACAGCAAAGCACTCTGTGGCTGAATAAAGGGTGAGTGTTGGTTTGTGTCTCTTAGAGTGCGTGCGCGTGTTTTTGTAATTCGCCCGTGTGAGGTCCCTTGCTCGTCGGTCAAATGTTTTATTTAGTAAATACGTGCTTACTCCCTTGTCATATGTGTGCTAAGTAGTCCTACCAGACAAGAAGGGGCTTGTACCGCTGGTTACTCAAGAGCCCAGAATGTTCCCCAGGGAACTTAGTAAGAAGGTGGCCCGGGGAAGAGCGCGCGCGCGCGCGCGTGTGTGTGTGTGTGTGTGTGTGTGTGTGTGTGTGTGTTGGCTTTTATAGCAAACGTAATTCCTCCCCTGGCTGCTGTTTCTTTCGCCGGTACTATGAGGTGCTAACCTCCGCTGTAATTAATCGTACTGCCACAAATTCCACAGCCATCCTCCTTCACTGAAAGCACAGCCCTGTGATTCTCCCGATGGCCGGGGACCCCTGTGCTCTTTGGCTGTGGGTTCCCAGTCTTCCCTATCTGCTCACTGAAGGGCTGTTTCCAATCAAGTAATTGTTACAAGCAGCAGCCTGGCGCCTGTGAGCACTGCCGCTGGAAATCCAAATAGGAGATTGGGTTGGGAAGTTTTCCCTGGAGTCTCTGTGATTTTCATGTTTAATTTGCGCCTTGGAGGCCGAGTCTGTGTGCTGCATGTGGACGCCAGGGTTCGCAGTGTTTGGTTAAATATTCAAACTGCGGCTTCCTCGGCGGCGCCAGGCTGCCGGCCTCTGCCCTTGGCTTGTGTTCTGTCTGCTAAACACGCCTTTCTCTCCCGATCTTTTGCAGGTGTTCATGACTTTTTTTTCCTTTCTTTTTCTTTCATAGTCTCTCTCTCTCTTTCTTTTTGCACAACAACAAAAACAACAAGTCCGCAGGAACTTATAAGACGCCGAACTTTTCAACCATTTCCAAGAGGACAACAAGTTTGAATGGACATTTTTCAAAAGCAAAATAAGAAGGACAGCTAAGAATAATCATCTTTCCAGGATGTTGTCTGACCTGGACTGTGATATTCGCTATTTATGAAAAAGACTTTTAAATGCCCTTTCTGCAGCTGGAAGGTCTTCTTTATATACTATTCCCACCATGGGGAGTTAAAATCACAAGGAATTGCCCAATCTAAGTAGACTTTGCCTTTTTTCAAAGGTGGAGCGTGATTACCAGAAGGATTCAGTATTCAGTTACTTAAATGAAGTCTTTGGTCAGAAATTACCTTTTTGACGCAAGCCTACTGAATGCTGTGTATATATTTATATATAAATATATATATATATATTGAGTGGAACTTTGTGAACTCTTTAATTAGAGTTTTCTTGTATAGTGGCAGAGATGTGTATTTCTGCATCAAATGTGTAATGCTGTACTTATTCATGCTAAACTTTTTATAAAAGTTTAGTTGTAAACTTAACCTTTTATACAAAATAAATCAAGTGTGTTTATTGACCGGGGATTGCCTGCTTTATTTCAGAGTACCAGTGCTTTGATTTTTATTATGCTATGTTATAACAGAACCCAAATAAATATGAGTTCAAATTTATGTAGACTGTATTAAGATTATAATAAAATGTGTCTGCAGTAATGCCTGAATTCCGGATGATTTTTAAGATCTGTCTTGCATGCCCCAAGCTGCAGTCATTCTCTTCTTTCTTCCCTTATCTCTTTCCGTTTAACCCTTTCTCTTTCCTCTCCTTTCCCACCCATTAAGCCTTCAAGAGACTCTTATCAGACTGTGGCCAGGGCAGCAGTTTGAGGCAAGGGGCCCCGCTGCTGTGTAGGAGTTCTAGGGACTAGAAAGGCTGGACACCTGGAAGCTCTGCTAGTCCTTTGGGAGGGAGGGTCGGAGTTACTAGGGATTGTGATCCTGGATGTCAGAGCAAAGTCACTGTGGAGCCTGGAAAGTCTCTTGGTCTTTTAGGAAGACTCGTGGTAGGGTAATAAACTGCAGATTCAGGAATTAGATAACTCTAGCGGGAGAGGGCAGAACAGTGCCACGGACTTTAGGAACCCAGGGCTTTCTCACTGAGCTACATCCCCAACCATTCTTTTCTTTTTCTTTCTTTCTTTCTTTTTTTTTTTTTTTTTTAAACTTTGAGACATGCAGCCGCGCTGCCTCACCACCAGAGTGCTGGGGTCACAGCCCTCCCGGATCCAGGGCCTGAAGCTGGGCTCTCTTCCACCTGTAGCCACGCAGGCTGCAGAAGACCTGCCCTGGCCGGCAGCTTTCCGAGCCGCTGACTCTGAAATCGCCCTTCACCCTTGACTGCCACCAGGCCTGGGAGGTGAGGGTGGGGAGGAGGGCGCCCGCAGTGCCTGGAAGCCAGGGCCTCCAGGCTGTTTGGGCCGCACCTGGGACCTGTTTTGCACGCGCAGGGACACCCCTGGGTCTCATGCTGGGGGAGGGGCGCCCTGGAAGGCTGATCACGGAGGCCGGGAACTGAGGAAGGAAGGGTGAGACAGGCCGTGCCTCACCTGGGGCCACTTTTTGGGCCAAGCAGGTGTTTGGGTGGCGCCATCGAGTCTGCCCCAGCAGCGGCGCGTTTCCTGACCGCTGACACCGAATCCATCACCGCCGCCGAGGCGGGGCCTCCTCTGCGGGACAGGGCTAGTGGGGCGCTGGCACCCGCGTTCCAGACTGGAGGGAGGACTGCAGCGAGGCTTCGAGGTCGCGGTGCTGCAGCGGCGCCTCAGAGCGGTGGGTGAGCATGCACAGCCCCAGGAAACTGGGGACACGAAGCCAGTCACCTGCATTCGGGCCGGCTGTCCTCACCGTGTGCGTTCAGAGTCCCTGGGAGGAGGAGAGAGGACAGATGGCGCCCTGTCCCCCTTGCTCCAGAGCTGGCTGCAGACCCCAGCTCCCTGGTCGCCCGGACATCCAAGGGCAAAGGGCGTGGCGCATAGGCGACCCCGGCGAGGCGGGCCGCATCCCGCTTCTGCAGGGGCGCCGTTTGCCACGCGCGGGCTGCAACCCGGAGCTACAGCGCCACCTACCGGAGGGGATCTGTGGACGCAGCGCGCCCACTCTGGAGGCCCGCGCCGTGGAGCCAGCACGCCACCTGCTGGCCACCTCTGGAACTGCGGGGCCATGTGCTCAGCGGGAAAAGCGCTATGCAATCGCCAGCTGAGGCAGTCTTTTTTGTCTGACTTTTTCATTTTTTGTCACTCTGTCCTTTTCTTTTTTCTTTTTTTCTAAGTATTGGACCTTGTTGGTTTTTTACTTTTATTATTTTGCGATAAGGTAGAGCCAAGTTACTAAATTGTCATGGCTAGGTTCCAACTTGTGGTCCTCCGCCTCAGCCTCAGTGGTGAGATGACAGGAGTGCAGCACTGCATTTAGCAAATTTGGTAAAAATCTTTTAATCCTTTTTATTGACATTATTTTTCAATGGTCGATTCCAATGATTGCTGTACTCCTAGGGTGGCCATGTGCTTTTGAAATAGTTCTTACACGCGATGTGGTATTTCTTCCTATGGTGCGTCCCCTCCTCTTCCCACACTGCCATTATGGGGAGATTGGGAAGAGCACTTGCCTTGCCTCACTTGAAGGGTGACCCAAAGACAGAGCATGTGTAAATTTTAAAGATTACAGCAAAGCACACATTGCCCCGAATCCCCCTCCAAACCCTCCCCTCGGTTTGAACGCACCCATCCCAGCATCCTCGCCGCTCTCTGCAGAAGCTCTGGAGGCCTCTTTGCACGGGTCTTCATGAAGTGGGATCAGAAATACACCAAGTTCCGTTGTCGAGAGCCATCGAGGGAAAGGCAGTTCCTAAAAGCAGAACGAGATGTCCTCATCCGCTTTAGTCACCAAATCTGACACTGTGTGACCTTTGACTCCTCCCCAGAGTCAAAAAGGGAAAAGTTTTGGGTCCACTCCGGACCCTAAGGCAGCCAGGACAGTGCAGCTGAAGATCCTCCAGAGAGGACGCCAGCGGTGGGCTGGGTGGGCCCAAAGCGAAGATTCGGGGGTTCTGGCCACGCTGCTTTCTGCTGTGATGATTTTTTTTTAACCTGAACACTCATATTTCTGATCAACATGTACACGTGAGCACACTCTCTTCTTAGGCCTGGGTCTTGGTTTTAGAACTCCCTGCACAGAGTTAGAAATTTGGTTTTATACACACACAGTTTTCTGAGCTCTAAATTAGTTTCTTCAGCTCTGCAGCTGAAGTTCGGAACCCACAGTTCTTCATACTTTTTGTCTCAAAAGCTCCGTGGAAGCAAGGCAGCCCCTGAAAAGGAAAGGCCATAATTAATGTTCTAATTTAATCCTAGCTGATTGAGTCAATCTGATTTAAACGTGCCTTGACCAGGAGGGAAATCTCCGGATAAACTTGTCAAGTTCAGATTTGTGGCTGACGGTGACTGACACTGACGGGCCCCATGGTTTATCCCTGGCATTTCCACGGACGGGAAAAGCAATTCAGAGTCACAGGAGGGGAGGAATGACAGATGGGACTCTCCCTGATGATGCACCATGGCTGGACAGACAGAGAACACTGCTCATGAAATAGAGAACACATGCTCTGGGAGGCTGAAGCAGGACGCTTGCAGTGAGTTCAAGGCCGGCCTGTGTTACAGAGCCAGACATTGTCTCAAAACAAAACCAAACAAAACAGGGCCAAAGGAAAGGACATTTCCCAGAGGAGCTTACCAAGGAACGATATAGCCACTACCTGTGAGGGAAAAGAAAAAAAGCCAAATTAACTCTTAGAGCACTGGGCAATGTGCCGCGTGTTGACCTGAGCTCAGCATCCTGTGCATAAGCACATTAAGCGATCTTGTTTTACGTTTAATTGGTGTTGTTTCTCTTAGGATTTCAGTAGCTGTAATTACTGTATGGTGTTGAATGCTAAGGTGATGTGCTTCACTTACGTTTTGACTGTTAGTGCAAAGACTCAAAATTAATCTTTCTTGTTCTCAAAACTTTCAGCCTTTCCAAAACAGGCAGTTTCAGTTTTAAAATTTCCTGCAAAAGTGCTTTCCTTTACTCTTAAACATTGGTCCACCTTTCATTTATCACTGAGATAGTAAAAACTGATTTTGCTAAATTTATGCACACTTTTATTTACATGTAGAGGGGGGAGCCAGGAGAGGTGGCACACACTTGTCATCCCAGCACTCGGGAGGCTGAGGCAGGAGCACTGCCGGAATTCAGGGCCAGCCTGCTGCATAGACGGCCAGACCCTGATTCAAAAACAGACAGAAAGGGGCTGGGGATTTAGCTCAGCGGCATAAGCGCCTGCCTTGCAAGCAGGCAGTCGTGAGTTCCATCCCTGGTACCGATAAAAACGAAAAAGACCAAAAAAAAAAAAAAAAAAAAAAAAGACAGAAAAAGAACTCAGGGCTGCTCAGAGGGCTGGGACCCACCATGGACAGCGCCTCTCTCGGCCTGCAGGCTGGGGCAGAGCAGCCTCGGCGCAGGGCCCTGTAGCCTGGCCTGGCAACATTTGCTCCAAATGGCAGGGATAAGTTTGGCCCGCGCAACTCCCCCGAGCTTCTCTTTCTTTGCCACTGTAGCGCTCGATTTAGGAGCGAGGCTGGCATTTCCTTGAGCTGCTGAGACGCTCGATGTCACGGTTCTGGGTCTTTTTTAGCTATAGCCAAGATACTTCCAACGGATTGGACCCTGGGCCCTTGGTGTCCTGGGGGACAGGCGTGCAGCAGGGGACACTCCCTGCCCATCGCCCAGTGAGTGCCCCAAGGGTGGTTCGCAGTGCCTGGAGTACCTGACCTGTGTGCGGGGACGCCAGCCTCTACGTCTGGAGATCTGACGGTATAATCTCTATTACATTGAATAGTGTGACAATATAAATCATGAGTAATATAAACATATGAAATGTGCGTTTTTCAGGTACACACGGAAACTACCCTTGCCTCTGTAGAATGTGTTCGTCTGTGTGACTTTATTGTCAGTCACGGGGATGGAACCCAAAGCTTTCCCAAGGAGCTACATCCCAGCCTTTTTTACTTTTTATTTTGAGACAGGGTCTCACCAAGTCATTAAGTTGACCAGGCTGGGCTTGAATTTGCGATCCTCCTGCCTCAGCCTCCCAGAGTGCTGAGATAACAGGTGTGTACTACCACACCCAGCTAGGATATGTATACTTTTTGTGTATATGTATACATATGTATATGATTTCCATACATAATTTATATGTGTCATATGTGTGTAATTTCTATGTAGGAAATCATGCTATTAAATGTTTAGATTTGAAACGATTATTACAGTAATAAACAAACAAGTTAAGTGAAATGAATTTCCAGGATTATAGAAGTTCTTCCTCTCTGTCCCCCACCCCCAAGATAGGTACAGCTGGCCGGTAGGGATACTTTTAATACTGGAAATGTACGGTGGTCTTCAACCTCATAACTGAAGGGGACACCCTCCAAATCTTAGTGATTGGCTGAAATAAACAAAGCACATATCCTGGACGGGCATGTAATCACAGAACTTGGGAGGCTGAGGCAGAAGTATCTCTGTGAGTGCCAGGCCAGCCTGGGCTACATAGCAAGTTCATGACCAGCCTGCACTACAGAGTGAGACCCTGTCTCTAAAACCAACCAAACAAAAGTTCTGGA